TTGCGCGGCGTTAACGGGCAGGTGGCCCACGCAGCCGGTAGGAATCGAGACGTTTCGCCGAGCTTGCTGCGCGCTTTGCCGCGGCGGAGTGCAAACCCCTCCGCTAGGCGGGACTCTGCCTGCTCACGGATTCGATTAGGACGCGCAGTGACCCAGAATGATCCTCTGCCCCTGGTGAGGCGACGTTACTGCTGGCTCCCGTTCGACGTGCCTCTGTGCCGCGCAGGCACGCAGCCGGTAGGAATCGAGACGTTTCGCCGAGCTTGCTGCGCGCTTTGCCGCGGCGGAGTGCAAACCCCTCCGCTAGGCGGGACTCTGCCTGCTCACGGATTCGATTAGGACGCGCAGTGACCCAGAATGATCCTCTGCCCCTGGTGAGGCGACGTTACTGCTGGCTCCCGTTCGACGTGCCTCTGTGCCGCGCAGGAAGCTTGGCTCGGATGGGCCCTCGCCTAAGTGAGAGCAGATTTCGGCTCTGTACGGTTTGTTTTGCTAACGTTTTGGATGCGTTACATAAGGCTGCGCTGGCTTGCTTTGGGTTTAGGGCAAGGGAACGTTTAGCGCAAGGTAACGCGGCCTCAAGGCTCGAGCCGGAGTCGTGTCTTCCTTCTGAAACAGCAGCTGAACGGCCTCCAAGCTGGGGAACGTTTTGGGTTTTTGGGGCGGTTTTAACTTTTTTGGCACGTTAAACATCCAGCAAGGCTGAGCCTGGCTGGGGAGGACCAGAGATCCCAGGGCTGCCGGTGGCCTGGAGGTGGACACCCCTGGGGGCTGGGGACCCTGCGGTCCGGCTGCGCGGCCGCGTTGCGGGCGCGCGCCCTAGCTCGGCGTTGGACGTGCAAGTTTAGTCCTGCTCCCTCCCCTTTTGTAATACTTCTTCAGAAAAGGCTTTGGAGAGAGCAGCTAAGTATTCAGCGAACTCTCCCTCGGGGCAAGGCTTTCGGCAATATCAGGTGTGAGCTGGACGTGGAAGAGCTCCCGCTCCCGGGAGAGCGGATTATCTTGGTGGCCGGCACCCACCTCGGCGGGTCGTTCGCGTGCAGCACCTTCCCGAGGCAGGCGGTGGGGCCTCGCAGCGGTGCCTTTCTGCCCCTCTGGCTGGCGCGCGGGG